TTCATTTCCCCTCACTTCCCCCATTTCTTCGGCACTTTCTCATCTTCTTACTGTCGTAAACTTTTCAACCATGGAATACGAGTTTTTGGCACAACGCACACAAAAATGATACGAATGGAGTATGGGAAAAAGTCGGAGATGTGAGGAAAAACTCTTGTGATTTCAGCAATCAGACGCCGCCCACCCACCGCGCAGCTCGTGAACAATATGAAAATAATAAAAACAGTTACATAAATCAAAAATGATAAGGAAAAACAGTGCATAAAAGTTGAGCGTTGTGGGAAAAAATCGAAGAAACGAGACTGCAGCGTTTTTCCTTAGAGCTTCACTCTTTTTTTTCCCCTTCTCCGCAAGATTGCGATGCAAAACACAAAGCAGAAAATCGAAAGTTGAGCTCCAACTAAGAAGGAAATCAACTTGAACAACAGGAAGCGTCTGTGTTGGCCTGGCCAAGTCCATCCTCCTCCAGTTCTGCCCCCCCTTTCAATCTCAGTGCCTCATTCTGTCAAATGGCAAAGGTGAAAAATGCGTGTCAATTTTTTTCCTATTTACACGAAAAGACCCTTTCCACAAGGGGAAGCATCTGCATTGTCAAGTGCTGAGTTATTGTGGCTGCACATTGTGTAAAATGAGGGTTACATAGATAGTTGTTTGGCAAATACTTCAAATAATCGTATGTATGTAAAGAGATATGTAAAAACTGTTATAAGGAAATGTCAGTTGTCAAATCTCTCAAAGTTGAATTTATTTTTTTTACTATAAAATGAGAACGAGTCTTAAAGCAAAATATTAAAAATAAATTTAAAAAGATTTTTACAGAGGGTTTTACAATTTCAGTCAAATGAAATTTGAAATGTCAGATTTTTGTATTAAACATCAATTTCTTTCCATAAAACTTGACTTAAAAACAAAACATAGTTCTTTAAAAAAAAATGATATATAAACAGATTCTAGATTTATTAATAAGTGTAAGCATCAGAAGTTTTAACCATTTCTAAGATCTCTAAAATATCTTCATCTTAAGGATAAGCGAGATACATTGTTGTTTGTACCAAATCCCTATTTTGTTTTATTCCGACCTCGGCTGGTCGACGGGGCGTGTCCTGGCATTATCATATATATCCCTCCCTACTTGGCAATCGCTCTCGCTTAACTCTGACAATCGAGTGCCGATCGAAACTACAATTGCAACTGCGGGTGTTGGCTTATTTATATGACACTGCAGTGGGGCTGGGATCCAACCCACTGATATAACCCACTGTGGTGCCGGATGAGGATGGTGATGGTGATGGTGATTTGTTGTCTTGCCAGCAGATTGTGCATACAAAATTACAGACGACGCTGTCGACATCCGAGGCTGCTGGCAGTTAATGTAAAAAATGTGTTGAAAATCGCATTCATGCATAGATTTTTTCACTCCCCTTTCGAGAATGTGCCCCAAGTAGATTTGTTGGCATCCACTCGCACACTTGCCATATTGATTTAGTTGCCTGATGCCCTTTGACCCGGCGTTGGGTTGCCAAAACAAATCAAGACGGGGGCCTGGTTGACTTAAAGCCGACACAAAGCTGCTATGAAATGCAATTAAGCCAACGCCTTCGAGTCTGAATTTGGTTTGGTTTGGTTTGGTTTGGTTTGGTTTTCTCCTGCTCTGTAACTTGGCCACAGGCCACAAAGTCAAGTTCCTGGATGAGTGGCTAACCGTTGGCCAAATATTTGCCCGGATCGGTGGTAAGATGGCAAGTCGGGCCTGGCTGTTAATGGACCACATTAGACGCAAAATACGAGCACATTTGCGGCATTCACAAAAAGGTAAGCTAACGCCCACACATATGTGTGCCTGCCCGCCCTCATAAATGTGCAGTTTATGGACAATAATTGCCAATAAGAGTCGTACAGCTGTCGTCGTGTCTCGACTTTGCGTATAATAAAACCCTCCGACTGTGCAACTATATATTCTGATTCTGAATCGGACCTCGTTTATGTGTGGTTTCTGCTTTCATTTGCATGGTCGGATATACTGGGAGCCAAGCTCAATTTGCTCAAGAGTTAAATTAAAGCGGCAGACTCGGGATTGTTGGTATAATTCACTAGAGATTTGGTCTTTGCTCTCTGCCTCGACTTGAGTCTGATTTATGCCAGCAAATGGCTAACGCTGTGCGTATATTTAAACAGGAAAACCAAATTTATATGGCTTACACGATTACCGGTTCAGTGTGGAATGCGAAATTATTGCTGAATAGAAACTTCTTAGCTAACCCCAATATGGGAAGTGGTAATTTCACATTAATTTTAAATTACCAACAATTATTTGGTTATCCATTTCTAAAATGCAAAGTACAGCCAAATAAAAGAGCATAAAACAAATTTATTACAAAAACAATTTTAGTTGTCTCATTAAACCATTAGGTTTATGTATATCAATTTTAATTTGTAAAATTATTTCGAATCTTACTCAAAATCATTAAATTGGTCAATCTATTATTAAGCGAAGCACTTTGATAAATTGATAATTAGTTTCAATATAAAAGGCGTTGAGAAAAATAATTTATTAACATCAAAAGACATTGCAAACAAAAAAAACAAATAAAAATTATTTTAATGCTGATAAACACAATATTAAATGAAACAATTTCATGTTATATCTCGTTAACATAATTAAATCTTTAATTATTTCTTTAGGTCAAATGCATATAATTGCAACAACTTTTAATAAACATTTAAAAGACTGATTAAGTCGCAATTTAATTAGCCCTTAAGTACGCTCTTCAATGGGAAAACTTTATGATTTCCACGACCCGAAAGTGAGCCGAGCCAATTAATCTTTTGCACAAATCGCGTGCATTTCCCCTTAAATTAATTTCTGTAGCCTACAGTTGTGGGTCAACAGCGAAAGTCCTTCGCGCGTTTAAATCAATCAAGCTCAGCCATTTGTGCAATTTGCCAATGGTTTATTTATGTTTCAACTTTAACGGCCAGTGCAATTGTATCTGTTCGTGCTAACCACAACTGCAACTCCTTCATGCATCCGTTTGTTTAATGGCCAGAACGCGCCGCATTTGCAGCGGCTTTAATGGCAATTTAAAATGTCGGAAAGCCGCAAATTTCCGTTATTCATATAAAATTAAACGCAAATACGGCGCAAAGAGCGTTTGCACAGACACTCACACTCGGCAAACAATGGGCAGAGCCAGAGGCAGTGAGTGAATGTCGGTCTGTGAGTGCAAACGTGCCGCGAGGAAATTAATTTCCGTCAGAAGTCACACAGCAAAGGCATCGAGACGCGCAGCCAGGATAATTAAGCCCGCACACACACTCGCCTCCATATCCATATCCTGGCCACACGTCTGACTCGCTGTTTGCCTTCAAGACGGCCACTCATGGCCACCGAAAGGATGTCGCCCGCGAAAAGCCATCCGCACCAGACCCACAGCCAGAAATTGTAGCCGCTGACAAACGCCGGCCTCCCAACTCACGGTTAACCGACAAAGGACTCTGGCCAAAGGACAGAGGACAGCGGACAACGGACAACAGACAGCGGACATTCGACCGAGGGATGCCTGTGGCCGTGGGCTAACTTGGGCGCAGCTGTCATCACGATGCGATAAATTTTGGAGGCCAATGCCGGGCGGCGACATAAATCAGCCCAGAGATTTATGGCGATTTGCGCAAGTTGGCGTTCGCGATAAAGACCCAAAGAATGCGACCGAGGCGGCTTGATCCGGGAACGACTGTTGCTCTCGGGCTGACATAGCCAGCATAGTTCATAATGAGTAAAAGCCACTTGGCCAAATTATAGACTACGGGATACCTTGCAGGTTAGTAAAGTAAACTATGTAAAAGACAAACTTTTATGACATTACTTATTGTTATTTGATTTAGCTATGACGTTACTGTAAATTATAAAATATAATACTTTATATAACGTCATGTAAATCACAAATGCCTCGTAATAAGACCAGAGGACAAAATAATACTATTTAGTAATCAATAAAATAATAGCATGAAATATATAAGTATATTTGATAATTTCTAAGAATAATAAAACCACTAAATACCTGATTTAGACCTGTGGAAAAAAATAAAAACTGCTGGAAATGATTTATACACACAAATGAGTATAATAAAATAAACAAAATAAAAAGGATGCACAAAAATATTAAATCTTTTTTAGTACCCAAAGCTATTAGCCGTGTACAAATTTAATATTTAGTAAATAAATAAATAAATCAATTGTTTTACGACGTAAAGTTGTTAAATCTATGTCAATCAAATAGTGCGAGTCTCGTAAGCAACAAAAATCAATTTGGTTAAGTGTTAAAACGGTTTAAGAACTGTCTCACCACAAACCGAAAATCCCTATCCAAAAACCGCAGACAATGTAATTAATTAACTTATTTGATGTCCACCCATAAACACCCCCCTTCCGGATGCTTTACAGGGTATTTAGCTTGGTCAGACAGCGGTATAAAGGAGACACTAAGTTAACAAGGGACCCAGCTATCTGTCCTGTGTCCGACCTCCTTCCACTTTCCATTTCCGCATTCCTTGTGATTATCACACTGGGACCTATTTCCCACAATATCAGCAAATTGAAAAGGGTAAGAATGTCCACTCCAGTTTCAGGCGACCACGTCAATCCTCCCCCAGATATGCCAGATATACTAGATATAGATGGACACTGGCACAGGACGAGCGATAAGATGACCGACTGTCGGCATGTGGATGTGGGTCAACGGAGCACTGGACAAATTCATTAGGCGCCGGATATCGTAAAAGCTGGATCCCCAAAGCCGGCCAAATGTCTCAATTTACATTTCGAACATATTTTCATTAGCGCACTGAAGATATTCTCCCTTCCCGGCCATCATTTCATTTAATTTATAAAATAAAGCCGCTGAAAGGAGGACGCGAATTCTTAATATTCAGTCCGTCGATGGCATTCTCATCTCTCGCGTTCGCCTTCGCGGCCAATATTAAAAATAAAGTCCATCACTTACAGTCGCCTTTTTATTTATGCCACCGACCGCCCGTCGACGTTCTCGACTTTCCCGATGATATTCCGTTCTGGCTCTGCAACCGCACTTGGACCATTCTCCGGCCGGAATCGTAAAAGTTAAGCGCCGGCCAGTGAGTGGCGAATGCTGTACAGTGGGCACACAATAGGGACGGTCGAACCGTCGGCCAGCCGGCCTGTCAGTCAGTGAGTCAATGAGGAGCTCGAGATGAAAGTGAAAGCTAAGAGCCCTTTAAAACTTTCTTTCTTCCGTTTTTATGACTTATTGCGCTCTTGAAGGCGACTACAGGGTGCACTTGCAGAAATATGTTCTAAAAACAAAATTGTTTTAGATGTTTAGTTATTTGTATTAATTTTTTTTGTAAGTTCAAAAAGCTAAAACTAAAAATTTTAGAAAAATATGACTAATATAAAAAATAGTGTAAATCCAGAGGGATATTTTTCTCAACCAGTTATAATTCTTCAAAAACTTTTTTGTCATTATTTATGGTAAAATTTTTCTTTAAAAAGTTTTTATTATAAGTTTATAAAGTTATTTAATTTTTTTCGAAGTGTATGCAGTGAATAAAACGAGATCCTGAGCGTGAACTTTTATTATCATTATTCTCGCTGCAGTTGTAGTTGTGTTTGTTGCTACTTCCATTCTAGCGGTGCCTGGACATAAATATAAATAGGAACTTAAAATTCGCCAACCGCGCCAACGCCCACAGAGCGTATGAGTTATGCGAATCGAAAGTAGCCTGTCAGGTGGTTTTTCTTCCAGCACACTCAGAGGTACGTCATGAAAACCGCCAACAACTTCAGCATACAAATGGAAAATGAATGGGAATCGGAGAGAGAGAGAGAGAGAGAGAGAGAGAGAACTCCATCGCGCAGTGCTGCATCCAGCGAAGGATAAACAACATTCAACGCAAATACATTCATAACTACCCGGGCTAAGAACAACATAAATGTTGATATGTGTCACATTATACGATTCCGAGGAGGAGCCAGATGCCCGCGGCTGCTACCACACGGCCTTATCCCAACACTGCCATAAATCTTGCACAGAGCCGGGGTTGTCTTGATACAATATTTGCTGACATGACAACCGAAAAACATACTCTTGGCACACACAGAAGGTGATAATGACAGTTTAGGCATTCATTACACGTGTTGCTGATAAGGCGTAGAGCCGCCAGGTGGGTGGAAGGACCTCCCACAAACAAGGACACAAGAACACGACCAACAAACAACAACGAAGAACAACAACAAAGAACAACAACAAGATTGACATGACGCTCCGCTGATAAAAGTCAACAATATAAATTAATAAAGCTGGCAGGCGCGAGCGGCGAGAGGCCCCCAGGGATCCTGTTCAATGTCCTGCGTGTTTGCCATAATAATGTATTTCATTTGAATCAACAAGCCAAAACAGGACAGGACTCGTCGCGCTCCGTAGATATATTCATACATTTTAAAATATGCACATTATGGCCAGAAGTAAGCTGATATTTATGCTAATGAACCGACGACAGCGGCCCCTGGACGAGGCCATTCATTTTCCCTCGACTTTCAGCCAAAGCAATTACTATAATTGCTCACTCACCCAGGCCAGGCGGCAAAAAGCGAACCTACACACACATCAATATTCATTTGATTCACATGCAGAAACTTTCTTTTTGTTTGACTTCCACAAAGGGCACTTTCATGGGTAGTGGGGGGGCAAAGTTTTGCCCATCAAATCAGATATCAAAGCAACACGTTTTCCAACACAAACACAGACGCAAGATCATCAAAGAACACGGTTAATGAGACCAAGATGTTTCCACTTTCGGGCCAAAAATGTAATTAAAATTTTTCACAATATATTCTGCACACTCGACAAGATAGCAAGAATAATTCATTTGAGTAAGTCTGCTGATTATATTTTCAGTTTTTTACATGCTTCATTGGTAATTCATTTAAAACAAATGATTGAAATTATTTCTGATTTTTTCTATACAAATTTAAGATATGAAAAGGATGAGTAAAAACCTTTAAAAATATTTTTGAATGCGAATGTTTTAATACTGTAAAGCTAAAATCTTAATTTTTCGAACATACCAATGGTAACAATATAGCCAAAAACTAATTTGATCACAGCATATAATATAACCATTTTCTCGTCTTAAAGTATAGAATTTAATCAAAATTAAATAAGACCAAAATGTTGTCAGTAATGTAATTAAAATTTTTCCTAATACATGACACACAATCTTGGCTAAAATCAATATTTGATTTGATTGAGGCAAAAACTCCTCTCGGGAGGCTTGAAATCTTTTGTTGATTGCGGAGAGAAGAATCAACAGGAAGCAAAAAAGCTGAAAAACTCTGCAAGCTGGAGCAGAACAAATCAGCGGAAAGTAAACTTCATTAACATTTCAATATTTCGCCCCTTGCAAATCAGTTTGCTGATTTTTAACATTATTTATTCAGCATTTGCGCCTGTTGCCTGTCATTGCTCCTTTCATTTTGGACTCACCTCCAGCTCCAATATTGTTCACTTCACCTTGCCGCATTCATTAGGTGAATGACTTCAGCCTACATAAATTGAACACTGAACACGTGCCACGCCCCCATAACCTGTGCAAAAAACCGAAAGTCTGAGCCAAGCACAAAGGAATTCCAATTTCAATTCTCTCGAACTGCTAAGCGAAAAAGCGCATTTGGCGTAAAATTTATCAGTAGCTAACTACTGAAGGGCAAAAGGACTAAGGTCGGTGAAACAATGAGAAAGTGTGTAGCTTTCTTTTAAGATGAAATTCACATAGAAAATGTTATTACATAAAAGTCAGTTTTTCTAAGAAAAATTTTACAATCTTTCATTTAAGATGAAATTCACATACAACATTTTATTACACATATTTCAGTTTTTTAAAGAAAAATTTAACAATCTATTGGATTGAAAATTGTAAATATGATAATAAAACTTGCTACTTAATTTAAATCGGTTTTCCATTACCTAATTATCTTTTAAGTTAATCAGTTATTAAAAAAAATGTATTGATAAGCTTGGTATAAGCCTGAACTATTTAAGCATGGTAAAAAGCGGGAGAATAATAAACTTGAATAATTTATGGTGAAGGCACAAAAAGCTAATGGAACACAAATAGAATTTGAAACAATCGCACTTTTCATTATTATCATCCCGGGCTTTACTCGCCCAAATACGCGCCCAATTAAAACATAATTCATGGCCAAGAGCAGCTTAGTGCTCTTTATGCCCCCAATGGCTCCCCAGTGAGCGTTTGTAACTGCACAACAATAACCGGGCCAGAAATAAAAAGCTGGAGAATGATACCAAAGAGATATAGAGGAGGCAACAGAAGGTAAGCAATGGCAAGTCGACTTTAATTTGTTTTTCGTGTGCTGCCATGGATGAGAACCAAAATGAACTCGCCTGAGGAGCTGCACATTTGCGGGCTTATAAAAAAATATCATAACTATATAGAGTATATATATTTATATATATATATACATATATATGTGTGGAGGAAGGGAGAACATTTATGCGCATTGAAACGGAGCTGAGTAAAAATGTAAACAATTTTTTTTCGGGGCCAGGAACATGTATGGCTTTTTATGAAGCCCCGGACGGGCCAAAAAGCAGGCCAATGGCCACTGGCAGTGGCTAACAAATGGCCCAATCCGGAACGGACACCGGCAGACAAATGCACTGGGGTGCCACAAACAGACAGACAGAAGGACGGACGGCACATGACCCACTGGCTGTGAGAAGCGCCATAACGAGGGCTTAAATAATTAATATTACACATACGCAGTGTTGCCCGCTACGATACGATGCGATGCTCCTTCTCGAGGTGTATAAATCATAAAACCTGCACTCAGCGCGCATATTAAATCTTTCGGGCTAATGAACGCTGAAACTGATTGATGAAGCCGAGACGCTCGTAACCCCTTTTCCCCAAGAAAGTGTATCTATATCTTTTGTATCCGTTGCTGTTACTTCAATTAATAACGAAGCGCGAAAAGTTTCACTTTGCCAGCAGCAGCATTAACATTTTGCATTCATTCATTAGGAGCCAAAGCAAAGTTTACTCCGATGATAAATTGTAAAATTTTCGAGAACTGAACCTTGCTGGAGGCAGAGAGCGGGAAATCAAACTCCTTCACTAATTCATTTTCATTTGGCCCCGAAAACGAAAATTAAAAAATATGTAACCCTTTTTTTCCGCCGTCTCTAATCAAGATAAACAGTAGTAAAGTTTTACAGATCTGTTTAATAAAACATAACTATTTGAGTACTTTTAAATGCCAGCCGAGGTATAATTTTGTCTATTTTTTATTATTTTTTTGATTTTCATTCTATATTTTTTTGTAAATTATTTTTATAAAAATAATACGTTCGAATATTTAAAGAATGTTTTTACGGTATTTTTCTTAGACTCTGAGCTCTTAATAATTTTGAGCTCAGCTGTACCCTTAACATAATGAAATGCTGTTCAAACTTAAGGGATTTCTTTGAACTAAGAATCCCTTTGAAAGGTATCCAGTGGTCTTAACCTTTCAGTTGGTATCATTGGCGTTCGTCTTATTTCCGTTTATGTTGTTTCTTTGCTGCTTGGGGACAGAATATAATTTGAATTATTAATTAGCCCGTAATTAGTCGGGTTGATGTTCGTTTGCCTCGTTTTTGTTCTTGCTCGTGTTCTGACCACGTCTTGCGGCCATAATTTTAATACCCTCCCCGCAGAGCCTTTGATCTTGGCGGGTATTCTACGTCTTTTGATTAGCTAATTCATTTACCTCTCTGCCCAACACCAAAACTTTTTCTTGTAGCTTGTAAAATGCATAGAAATTTATCGGGCAAAAAATAACTCATTATGTGTCAAAAGCACACCCCCCAGCACGGCGATTCCCACTTGACCCAATTAAGAACGGAACTCAAATCTGAAAGTTTCGCTTTATGTTCGCCCACTTGTTCCGCAGATATAAGCCCCATAGAAAAACGCTACAGAAAAGGGCCAACAACGGCGACTGTCCGCGCAATTAAAGCAACTGTGCAGTGGCTTAGCAAGTCAAGCTTAAACTCGAGAGGAGCAGCCAGTTCATTTGGATTGGGGATTCGCGAATCCCTCCTATGATCCTCGGCATAAACTCAAACTCAAACAACATGAAATGACAGTTTTATTTATTTTTCCGCGCTGTGCTTAAAATAGTCAAAAAGTTTTAATGACTTTACGCTGGCTAAGCGACAGCGTGCAACATTCGCCCGATATCCGCCCACTCTCAAGTGGGAAATATAAAAAAGGAATTCGTTAAATTAAGC